TGAGTTAGAGTTTATTAAAACTCCTCACTACATCCTATCTTTTACTCCAGGTAGTGAGAGTTGCGAGACTAAAGATCTGTCATTAGAAAAAACATTGAGTGTTGAGGGAAGTGAAAAGGTTAGGGCAATGGAGCAGGAAGATGTGGGTGTAGAAACTGAATCGTTTGGATCAGAGAAGACTAAGGAAGAGATAGGTCAGGAAGGGGGGATTCCTTCTAGTATTTTAGAAGTTGGGGGAGAGCAGGGTAGATGTTATGATGAGATAGCAAACATTGTCTCTGAGGTAATAGGGTACGAAGTGAAATGGTAGAGTAGGAGTAGTCTAGTTCACTTAGTTGAAGTGTATGACATTTAGCCTCAAGTGTTAATTAAGTTGGTTGGAGTGGAGGAAAAGGTGTGCTTGGCACCTAGGGACCACTGGGTACCCACTTATGCCCATTACCTAACTACAAGGCTTAGGTTCCCCATTCCTTAACTGTTGGTTGGGTTACTGCTAGATTATAACATAGGTTTGACACAACTGGTCGTAAACGCAATGAGATGGGTGATAGGTTTCTTAGTTTACTGTCGAGCTCGAGGCGTGAGGGTCTCCACTGTAAATATGTTTAAATACTTTTTTGTGATTAAGGCAAGGAATAGAAAGGAGAAAGGGTGATACTATTTCACACCTATAGTATCAAATAGAGAAAAAAGGATCATATTTAGCTCAGGGCCCTTGTCCATCAAGGGGTGAAAAGAAAATTTTTTCTTCGTTGATGACACGAAGTGCGAAAGAAAGGATGCAAAAGTGGAGGTGTTGTCAACATGGAAGTCAAAGAGAGGGAACCGAAATAAATATAGCTTAACTAATGATGAGATGGAGAAAGTGGAGAAGTTGATGAGGGATGAGAATGATGTGCTAGACATTGTGTATCTCACTAGCTTAGATGTTATTGATGTAGCTAAGCTTTACGGGACAAGTTCATTGAGCGAAAGTGTGTGTGTTTTTATGTTTTGTTGTTTAAAATAATGTTTTGATTAGCACGTTTAACTGTTATTTGTTTTATAGCGGAGATGAACAAGTTCATTTCCATAGTTGGAAGGGTTGTTAATCCCTAAAAGAAAGAAAAGGCTCCTATAACAAGTAGGGTTCTTGGTCGAGCTGGGAGCGGTAAATCCAAGGCTTAGCCTTCTAACACCTCAATCCAAGCTTTTGAAGTTGAAAGGCCAAGGTCAGAAGAAGAGGGTGGATAAGTAGCGGGATGAGCTGATAGACTTCATCTTACATCCCACTCCAGTTGATATAGACCTAGCATTTCGGGAGGTCGAAGTTGTGACCCATGGAAAAGGAAAAGGCCTTGTTCCTTCTCCTGCATAGCAGTCCAGCTTCTATGAGTCCAAGCGTAAGATGATTGCCAAGAGGTTCATAAACTTCACCTTCCTTGAAGTTGATCGGTGTCAAGCAAGGGATGAGGTGCTAATGTACGTGGGTGTTGGGGTTGTTTGCCATGTCCTTGAGGTTTGGTTTTTTTTTTTTTAATAGTAGTAAGTGTTGCAAGCTGCTAATTTGGTGAATGCTCTATCAGATGAATTTTTTGAAAACCTCAAGGACCAAAATAATCTGGAGAAGAGAATGAAGAGCTTAAGAGGTGGAAGGAAGACGCGGAAAAGATTGTGGAGGAGTTGACTTTGGAGCTCGAATGGCTCCAAAAAGAAAATGAGTCGTTGAAGAGGACTCTAATGTTTGAGGAAAAGAAGAGGAAATTTTGTGAAGACAAAATAACGGATCAAGATAGAGAAATTATGGAAGTGAGGAAGGTTACTGTTGAGCTAGAGAAGAGTGTGAATCTGTAGGTGCACAATGCCATGGAGAAACACATTGTAGACTTCATCAAGTTTAGCACTTTCGACAACATTGTAAATCTTTACCGATTGCCCATTGTGATTCTTGCATTCACAAACTATAGGAAGAAGGTGAAAGCCTAGCATCTCAAGATGGATGTGACGAGCCTTACCTTTGGGGATCAAGAAGGAGAAGTGGAGAAGAATGGCAACAGCAAAACAATTGACTTCCATGTTGAAGTCAAACCAAAGTGGGACCATGACAATGAGGGCCGCACCATTTTCCCTCCCAACTTCAACTTTGAGTTTGTCATAGTGGGCGAGGAAGAAGTAGAGAGGGGTGATGAAGTCGAGGTGGCAGACAACATGGAGGAATAAGAGGTGGACTAGTAACCTCCTCCATCAGAGTAGCTATCCTCATACAATAGTTTTCTTACTTTTGTTTGGATACTTGAACAGTTTATTTGAAGAATTTGTTGCACATTTTTAACATTTAGAATATTGATTGTTCACATACGTTAATTTGTTTTATGGATTTATTGCTATTTATATAAGTTTGTTAAAATGAATGTTGAACTAAGATCTGCACCACCTCGAATATGAGGTGGATTTCATACCATTAATAGAGCATAAGTGCAACAGAATAACGTATCCAACTTAAACACAAAAATCAAATAATGTAAGTTGAGCAAAATCTATTAAGTTGAATAATCTATAGTTTTGAGGCTAAAATTTTCTTAGATTATTAACATTTTAGACTCTAGGGATTCACTTTCCCTGAACGTCTTGAAGGATATAGGCACCAGGATGTGTTACTTCAATCACAGTATAAGGGCCCTCCCAGTTTGAGGCTAGCTTGCCAAATCGAGTTTCAAACCTTGTGAGACCAACTTTTCTGAGAATAAGGTTGCCAGCTCTGAAAGTTCGAGGATGAACTTGTTTGTTGTAGAAGTTGGCAAACCTTTGCTTATATGACAAAGTTCGAAGTCGAGCTTTTTCTCTGACTTTAGTAAGCAAATCAAGGTTTTCTCGAAGTAGTTGTCCATTTCGTCCTTCATCGAAATGGGTGACCTTGAAGCTCGAGACTCCTATGTCAATCAAAATGATTGCTTTGGTGCCAAAGGCCAGGTGGTATGGTGTTTCACCTATTTCATTGAGTTACCATTTTAGCATGTGCTTTACATATGTTAACTAAAATTGAAGCAGTAGAAAATATAATAAAGGAATATAGATCAAGGTAAAAGATGGTACCTATGGCAATTTAACTGGTGGTTTTATATGCCCAAAGTACATTATTGAGCTCATCTACCCACCTAGCTTTATGTTACTCCAATCTTGGCTTTATTCCTTCGAAAATAGCTTTGTTCACCGACTCAACCATTCCAGTGGACTCCAAATGGTACACTAAGGTAAATTGTAGCTTAATTCCATAACTAGAGTAGAAGTCTTTGAATGAAGCACAATTGAACTGTGTTTCATTGTCAACGATGATTTGATTTGGAATCTCATATCTGCAGATGATTGAATTAAATACAAAGTCTTTAATTTTCTTGGAGGTAAGACTACATAATGTCCAGGCGTTAACCCATTTTGTGAAATAATCGACACCAATTACCAGGTGTGTTATGCCTCCAACGCCTTTCACAAATGGACCCAAAAGATTGAGTCCCTATTGAGTAAATGGCTAGGGTGCTACTAAGTTTGTGAGCTCTTTTGTTGGTTGGTGAGTCAAATGTGCAAAGACTTGGCACTTTGGGCACCTCTAAACAAATTCTTTGGCGTCTTGCTGCATATTAGGCCAATAGTATCATTGTTTGAGAACTTTGTAAGCTAGTGTTCTCACACCAATATGACTTCCACAAACACCCTTATGCACCTTCTGAAGTGCATATTCAGCTTCATAAGGAGTCAAACAACAGAGCAAGGGGAGTGAGAAAGACCTTTTGTAAAGGACTCCGTCAATTAGAGTGTATTGAGGCGCTTTTTGCTTCAATTTCATTTCTTCTTGTTTATCCTCAAGAATTGAGCCATCCTATAAGTAAGATTTAATCTGATTCATCCAACTCAGTGCGTTTGGATCTACATTAATCTCCATCACCTTTAGCTTTTGAAAACTGGGTTCATTGAGAACCTCAACATAAACTGACTTCGGCTCTAGAATTGTCGGAGGCAAACTTTGAAAATGAATTCGCTTGTTCATTTTCAGATCTAGATATTTTGCTGAGGTAGAATTTTACAAATTCGCACCTGAGCTTAGACATTAGTCACATACTTCATCAAAGTGGGTTCTACTACCTCACAACTTGAGTTTACTTGATTAACCACAAGTTGAGAATCACTATAGATTTGAATCACTTTAACTTTTAGCTTTAATGCCAACTAGAGGCCAAGCAACAAGGCTTCATACTCAACCATATTGTTGGTTGCATCAAAGTTAAACTTTAAGGCATGCTCACTTTGGTACCCGTTTGGGCTTGCCAGAATTGTTCCAACTCTTGACCTTTTACGATGTGATGCCCCATTAACATATAAAACCCATGTATTTGGATTAGGATGGGGACTTGACTGATCAAAAGTGCATTCAACAATAAAATCTACCAGTGCTTGAGCTTGAATTGTTGATCTCTATTAGAATGTTATTTCAAATTCTTGTAACCCAACTACCCATTTGATTAATCTGCCCAAACACTCTGGTTTTTGCAAGATCTGTCGAAGAGGATGATCTATGAAGACAACTATCGAGGGTGATTGAAAATATGGTCTCAATTTCCTTACTCAAGTAACAACTGTTAGAGTTGCCTTTTCAACAATTAAGTATCTCTACTCTGCACCATGTAACACCTTGCTCGTATAATAGATTGGTTTTGCTATTTTCTTTCTTCCCTTACTAATACATAACTTATTGCCTTATCTAAGATTCCAAGATACAAGTAAAGGATCTCATCGTCAACAGTCTTGGTCAATAAAGGGGGCAAGTTAAGATAAGACTTGATCTCGTTGAATGCAGTTTGGCATTCTGGAGTCCATTAGAACTTCTTCGGCTTGCCTTATTCATCTTTTTGAGTTGCCGACCTCATGATTTTAAAAAATGGGAGGCACTTGTCAGCTAACTTGGAGATGAACCTATGAAAGGCTACTACCCTTCTAGTTAACCTCTACATATCTTTAATAGGTTTAAGCAATGTTTTTGGACCCGACCCAGTGGTTGCCTCGGTTTGGTCACCAGGTCCAATTGAACCAGTTGAATCGGTTCACTCGACTGGTCCAACCGATCAACTAAAAAACACTTTTTTTTTTTTACATATTTATTTGATTTTGCTATTATATATTACTTTTATTTTATTCTTAAGAAATAATCATCATAAGATCAATTTGAAAATCACCATTTAAGCCATTTAAAATAATAAATTTAATTAAATATATATAATTTTTAAAATTTAAATTAACAAATATTAAAATATATAA